GGCAAAGACTCAGCCTAAATTGTTGCATAGCCACATTAGGAGAAAAACAACAGTAAAGGAACAGGTTATGAGATTAAGGATAGGGGCGGAAGGATTCACTACAAATGACAAGGAAGTGTGTGAGGAATTGAATAAGAAATTCCAGGAGGTCTTCACCTTAGAACAAGGAGAAATTCCAGAGGTAAGTGAGGGAATAGCTAACCAGGAACCACTGGAAGAGTTTGAGATTACCAGTGGGGAAGTAAGGAAGTGTTTACTAGAGTTGGACGTGACGAAGGCTATAGGCCCAGATGGAATCTCCCCTTGGGTTCTAAAGGAAGGAGCAAGAGAACTGAGCCTACCACTCTCCATAGTGTATAACAAATCACTGGCAACAGGGGAACTGCCAGATACTTGGAAAGCAGCTAACGTAGTCCCGATATACAAGAAAGGGGATAGACAGGAGGCACTGAACTACAGGCCAGTGTCCCTAACCTGCATACCATGCAAGCTGATGGAGAAGATTGTGCGAAAAAAACTAGTGGAGCATCTGGAGCGAAGGAACTTTGTAACACAGCATCAACATGGGTTCAGGGATGGCAGGTCCTGCCTCACAGGGTTACTTGAATTCTACGACCAGGCAACAAAAATAAGGCAAGAAAGAGAAGGGTGGGCAGACTGCATATTTTTGGATTGTCAGAAAGCCTTTGATACAGTGCCACACAAGAGGCTAGTGCGAAAGTTGGAGATGCAGGCTGGAGTGAGAGGGAAGGTACTCCGGTGGATAGAGGAATACCTAAGCAACAGGAGACAACGAGTCTGTGTGAGGGGTGAGGTCTCAGATTGGCGAGACGTCACAAGTGGAGTCCCGCAGGGGTCAGTCCTTGGACCTATACTGTTTCTGGTATATGTAAATGATCTCCCAGAGGGTATAGATTCGTTCCTCTCAATGTTTGCCGACGATGCAAAAATTATGAGGAGGATTGAAACAGAGGATGATAGTAGGAGGCTACAAGATGACCTGGATAGACTGAGTGAATGGTCCAACAAATGGCTGTTGAAGTTCAACCCGAGTAAATGCAAAGTAATGAAACTAGGCAGTGGAAACAGGAGGCCAGGCACAGGATACAGAATAGGAGATGAAGTACTTAATGAAACAGACAGAGAGAAAGATCTAGGAGTTGATATCACACCAAACCTGTCTCCTGAAGCCCACATAAAGAGAATAACGTCTGCGGCATATGCGAGGCTGGCTAACATCAGAACGGCGTTCAGGAACCTGTGTAAGGAATCATTCAGAATCTTGTACACCACATATGTAAGACCAATCCTGGAGTATGCGGCCCCAGCATGGAGCCCGTACCTTGTCAAGCACAAGACGAAGCTGGAAAAAGTCCAAAGGTATGCTACTAGACTAGTCCCAGAACTAAGAGGCATGAGTTATGAGGAAAGGCTGCGGGAAATGCACCTCACGACACTGGAAGACAGAAGAGTAAGGGGGGACATGATCACAACCTACAAAATCCTCAGGGGAATCGACCGGGTAAACAAGGACGAACTTTTCAACACTGGTGGGACGCGAACAAGGGGACACAGGTGGAAGCTGAGTACCCAAATGAGCCACAGAGACGTTAGAAAGAACTTTTTCAGTGTCAGAGTAGTTAGCAAATGGAATGCATTAGGAAGTGATGTGGTGGAGGCTGACTCCATTCACAGTTTCAAATGTAGATATGATAGAGCCCAATAGGTTCAGGAATCTGTACACCAGTTGATTGACGGTTGAGAGGCGGGACCAAAGAGCCAGAGCTCAACCCCCGCAAGCACAATTAGGTGAGTACAATTAGGTGAGTACACACACACACACACACACACACACACACACACACACACACACACACACACACACACACACACACACACGCACACACACACACACACACACACACACACACACACACACACCAAAGGGCTGGCGAACCAAAGGGAAACTATGAGAAAATGAATAAATTCCTATGGGATATACATTGGGACACAGAACTCGGAACCAAGTCCGTACAAGACATGATGGACTATGTCACCCAAAAATGTCAGGAGGCTGTAAGCAGGTTTGTCCCAGCCCGACAGGAAAAAACAGAGAAGCAAAGGAAGAATCCGTGGTTTAACAAGGAATGTATGAAAGCAAAGGAGCTGAACAAAAGGGCATGGAGGAACTTCCGTAATAACAGAACACCAGAAAGTAGAGAGAGATACCAGAGAACCAGGAACGAGTATGTCAGTGTGAGAAGAGCAGCTGAGAAAAGGTATGAAAATGATATAGCTAATAAAGCGAAGACCGAACCAAAGCTACTACACAGTCACATCAGGAGGAAGACAACAGTGAAGGAACAGGTGATGAAACATTGGGTGGGCGAGGACAGGTACACAGAGAATGACAAAGAGGTGTGTGAAGAACTCAACAAAAGGTTCCAGGAGGTCTTTACAATAGAACAGGGAGATGTCGCGGCGCTAGAAGAGGTGGCAGCAAACCAGGTGACCTTGGATAGGTTCGAAATTACAAGAGATGAGGTCAAGAAGCACCTATTGGAGCTGGATGTGAGAAAAGCTGTTGGGCCAGATGGAATCTCGCCATGGGTATTGAAAGAGTGTGCACGAGCGCTTTGCCTACCACTCTCCATAGTGTATAGTAGGTCACTGGAAACGGGGGACCTACCAGAAATATGGAAGACTGCTAATGTAGTACCAATATACAAAAAGGGTGACAGACAAGAGGCACTGAACTACAGGCCAGTGTCCTTAACTTGTATACCATGCAAGGTGATGGAGAAGATTGTGAGAAAAAACCTAGTAACACATCTGGAGAGAAGAGACTTCGTGACAGCCCATCAACATGGGTTCAGGGAGGGTAAATCTTGCCTTACAGGCTTGATAGAATTCTACGATCAGGTGACAAAGGTTAAACAAGAAAGAGAAGGGGGGGCGGACTGCATTTTTTTGGACTGTCGGAAAGCCTTTGACACAGTACCCCATAAAAGGTTGATGCATAAGCTGGAGAAACAGGCAGGAGTAACTGGTAGGGCGCTCCAGTGGATACGGGAGTACCTAAACAATAGGAAGCAGAGAGTTACAGTGAGGGGTGAGACCTCAGACTGGTGTGAAGTCAGCAGTGGAGTCCCACAGGGCTCTGTACTTGGACCTATCCTGTTTCTGATATACGTAAATGATCTCCCAGAGGGTATCGATTCATTCCTCTCGATGTTTGCTGACGACGCCAAAATTATGAGAATGATTAAGACAGAGGAGGACAGCTTGAGGCTTCAAGAAGACCTGGACAAGCTGCAGGAATGGTCGAACAAATGGCTGTTAGAGTTTAATCCAAGCAAATGTAATGTAATGATGATAGGGGTAGGAAGCAGGAGACCAGATACAAGGTATCACTTGGGAGATGAAATACTTCAAGAGCCAGAGAGAGAGACAGACCTGGGGGTTGATATCACGCCAGACCTGTCCCCTGAAGCTCATATCAAGAGGATAACAGCAGCAGCATATGCCAGGTTGGCTAACATAAGAACAGCCTTTAGAAACTTGTGAAAGGAATCTTTCAGAACATTATATACCACATATGTCAGACCAATCCTGGAGTATGCGGCACCAGCATGGAGTCCATATCTAGTCAAGCATAAGACTAAAATGGAAAATGTTCAAAGGTTTGCCACCAGACTAGTACCCGAGCTGAGAGGTATGAGCTACGAGGAGAGACTACGGGAATTAAACCTCACTTCGTTGGAAGACAGAAGAGTTAGGGGAGACATGATCACCACATTCAAGATCCTCAAGGGAATCGTCAGGGTTGATAAAGACAGTCTATTTAACACAAGGGGCACACGCACTAGGGGGACACAGGTGGAAACTGAGTGCCCAAATGAGCCACAGAGATATTAGAAAGAACTTTTTTAGTGTCAGAGTGGTTGACAAATGGAATGCATTAGGAAGTGATGTGGTGGAGGCTGACTCCATACTCAGTTTCAAGTGTAGATATGATAGAGCCCAATAGGCTCAGGAACCTGTACACCAGTTGATTGACAGTTGAGAGGCGTGACCAAAGAGCCAGAGCTCAACCCCCGCAAGCACAACTAGGTGAGTACAACTAGGTGAGTACACACACACACACACACTCACACAGTAGTAAACAAATGGAATACATTAGGCAGTGATGTGGTGGAGGCTGACTCCATACGCAGTTTCAAATGTAGATATGATAGAGCCCAGTAGACTCAGGAATCTGTACATTAGTTGATTGACAGTTGAGAGGCGGGACCAATGAGCCAGAGCTCAACCCCCGCAAGCACAAGTAGGTGAGTACAACTGGGTGAGTACACACACACACACACACATCCCCAGGAAGCAGCCCATAGCAGCTGCATGTCTAACTCCCAGATTCCTGTTTACTGTTAGGTGAACAGACGCATCAGGGTGAAAGAAACTCTGGCTACTTGTTTCGGCCTCGGCTGGGAAACGAACCCGGGCTATTAGGAATACTACCCGCAGGTGCGAGGCCCCCTATAAAGTGTGTGTGTGTGTGTGTGTGTGTGAGAGAGAGAGAGAGAGAGAGAGAGAGAGAGAGAGAGAGAGAGAGAGAGAGAAAGAGAGATGAGAGATGAGAGATGAGAGGTTCATCATCATGTCATGTCAGTGCCTACCTGTCTTAAGTACACTTGCATTTCTACAGTTTTTATAACAATTAAATATACATTGGTATTTAGTATTATATTAATCAATACTTAAACTTCTTTAATAATAAGATGCATATATCTCTTGCTATCGTACTATGGTTAAATGTTAAAATGATATCGAAATACATAATACCAAACAATGCATTTCAAGTAATGAGTTGTGTAGCTTAGAACAATGACTTGAGCTCATTTATATTATCCTTTTTTTTATTTTGAAACTGTGTAAGAAGTTTGCCTAAACACCATCCTCGACTAGTCCCTTCCATCTGTCTACAAGTGCTGCAGACTCAATTATGAAGTCTTCTGTTTCTGGCGTATATCCCTGTGCCGCGTTCCACTATCCCTGTGCCGCGTTCCACTATCTCTGTGCCGCGTTCCACTATCTCTGTGCCGCGTTCCACTATCTCTGTGCCGCGTTCCACTATCCCTGTGCCGCGTTCCACTATCTCTGTGCCGCGTTCCACTATCTCTGTGCCGCGTTCCACTATCCCTGTGCCGCGTTCCACTATCTCTGTGCCGCGTTCCACTATCCCTGTGCCGCGTTCCACTATCTCTGTGCCGCGTTCCACTATCCCTGTGCCGCGTTCCACTATCTCTGTGCCGCGTTCCACTATCTCTGTGCCGCGTTCCACTATCTCTGTGCCGCGTTCCACTATCCCTGTGCCGCGTTCCACTATCTCTGTGCCGCGTTCCACTATCTCTGTGCCGCGTTCCACTATCCCTGTGCCGCGTTCCACTATCCCTGTGCCGCGTTCCACTATCCCTGTGCCCCGTTCCACTATCCCTGTGCCGCGTTCCACTATCTCTGTGCCGCGTTCCACTATCCCTGTGCCGCGTTCCACTATCTCTGTGCCGCGTTCCACTATCCCTGTGCCGCGTTCCACTATCTCTGTGCCGCGTTCCACTATCTCTGTGCCGCGTTCCACTATCTCTGTGCCGCGTTCCACTATCCCTGTGCCGCGTTCCACTATCTCTGTGCCGCGTTCCACTATCTCTGTGCCGCGTTCCACTATCCCTGTGCCGCGTTCCACTATCCCTGTGCCGCGTTCCACTATCTCTGTGCCGCGTTCCACTATCTCTGTGCCGCGTTCCACTATCTCTGTGGCGCGTTCCACTATCCCTGTGGCGCTTTCCACTATCTCTGTACCGCGTTCCACTATCTCTGTGCAGCGTTCCACTATCTCTGTGCCGCGTTCCACTATCCCTGTGCCGCGTTCCACTATCCCTGTGCCGCGTTCCACTATCCCTGTGCCGCGTTCCACTATCCCTGTGCCGCGTTCCACTATCCCTGTGCCGCGTTCCACTATCTCTGTGCCGCGTTCCACTATCCCTGTGCCGCGTTCCACTATCTCTGTGCCGCGTTCCACTATCTGTGGCGCGTTCTACTATCCCTGTGCCGCGTTCCACTATCCCTGTGCCGCGTTCCACTACCTCAGTGCCGCGTTCCACTATTACTCATTTAGAGCATTACTTCTTCTTCGTCAACTTTGTCGATTCACCATATACTTTTATGTCGTCTTTATCACGACCCTTGTCCCCTGTGGTGAGGTGGTCATAGAGACAAGCTTTATAACAAGTTATCAGCTGAGAGAGAGACAAAGGTTATGTGGGAGCCGCAGAGCAGTACAGCCGCCCAGCAAAGTAGTACCTCGAGCTGGAGACTGGTTAGGAATTATGTATATATGAATGCTAAGACTGTGTTAAGGAAAAGTGGACTCAATCACATAAGCTAGGAAGGGAGTGTGGTTAATGGAGTCATTACAGAGGTTGACTGGCAATGTTCGGAGATTGAGTATCATGGGGCGAGTGACACAGGAGACGGACGCCATCTTTCCCTGGCTGATGGGGCGCCGGTGTGGGCCGCCGTCCTGGCCACTTTGTGATTTTTTCCTGCCAGATATTAAGATACGCCGCCATGTTGTAGTAAAGCAGGTTGCAAGAGTGTGTAGAGTATATTGACGTTCTTCCGAGTAGGTTACTTAGGGAGAATCCAGTTTTCATTGTTATATATATATATATATATATATATATATATATATATATATATATATATATATATATATATATATATATTGTGATGATAATCTCTTTCAAGAGAGATTGAGCCTGCTCTTCCCTACCTAAAGTTACGTCAAGTTATCAAGTATAAGATGCTACATTCAAGATACATCACCGGTAGCACAAAACGTTTTGATCAGGAGGCAAAACGTACCCAAAAACCCCCCTACTCCACACACCCTCCACGCCGGCTCATCGTCAACCAGCAAACTACCCATCCCTGCCTGCCTGCTCCTGATTGGTGACTCGCCGACCGCGCACCTGCACACTGCACTTCAGCGCCATCTACCTGAGTCGACGTCTGAGCCTGACCAGCCATCAACTTCAGAATATTCTTTGTGCTCTTAGAGTTGACATCTCTCTCTGGCATACTAAGCTTTCTGGCTTTCGTATACTAAGGGAGGTCTCAGCTAAAGCCAATATTCTCAGCACCATTTCAACATTATATTATTTAATCTATTGTGTTTTTGCATTTATCTTTGTCATTTTACTGCACCAGTCATTTGCCCGAGATTTGTCTTTATTTTCATTTATGTTTAAAGTATATATATTAAAGTTTCATTGTTCATACTTTGTGTTTTACGTGTTCCTCCCTCTCACTTACCACAGACAACAGGCAAGCAGTCTATCTTTTGTGTAAGTGTGACCAGGCATTGACACCTGCCATTGGAGGTGCCGACGGTATTGTGAGTCTCTCACTGTATCTCATTACTCTCACTTCCGAGTGCAATCTTCCTGTATTGCACTGTATTTTCTATTAATTGGTATTGATGACTATGGAAGTGTTCCAAGTCATTTGAAGACTCACTCACCCATACTTGGTGCACTCACTTAGTTGTACTCACCAATTTGTGCATGGGAGAGTTGATCTCTGGCTCTTGCAGCCCGCCTCTCGACTGTCAATCAATCAACTGATTTGTTTTTTTCCACACCCTCCCCCCAGGAATCAACCCATAGCAGCTGTCTAACTCCCAGGTACCTATTTACTGCTAGGTGAATAGTGCATCAGGGTTGAAAGATACTCTGCCCATTTGTTTCCGCCTCCACTGGGGATCGATCCTCGGAACCTTAGGACTACGAATCCCGAGCGCTGTCCACTCAGCTGTCATACCCCGTGAGGCCCATACATCAGGCCCATGGTGTATGCACCCAAAGCTGAATACTCATGAGTGGATACTTCAACATCAAGGGTGGGTATTTATCATTTTTGAACACTTCTTTGTCTTGGGTTTCCAAAGACTCTTTATAACTCTTTGTGATACCTGGTATCCTGTATCCAGGATATCGTGTGATATCTTGTGGTGTAGTATCCTGTGATACTAGAGGGTATTGCTGCTTAACCCACCTTGCTTCTCCTGCTATCCTCATAACTTGTCACTTCTCATTTACTACATTCACGTTGCAGTTGGTGTTTATGTATGAGGCTTGAGGCTCCTTGTTGCTGGTGATTTAGGTGATTATGACTGGCATTGTGTGGAGGTGCGAGGCTGTGTTACTGATGATCACCTGGGATTTTACTGGGCTTGCAAATTACGTGGAACCTATTGGTTCATAATGAAATTATCTGTGTTGTGGCGAGTTACTAAACTCGTTAAATAAGTTAATTGACTGTAAGTGGAAATCCAGTCTGGTTCTAAATGTGTTTAGTGTTCGTGTTTGTTGCTATTGGCTTCATGTTTTATGTGTTCGTGTTTATTGTTCTCTATATATATTATATTCAAATTTATGTTGTTTCTTTTAGTGTTTTTAATGATTTATGGACTCGTGTTGGTCGTCTCGGACCATGAGGGCCTCTGCTCCAGGCACCGGTTTAGGCCTACACAATACCAGATATATTTTCCGAAACAAAAGTCGATGACTGTTTGCGACAAAATAACTTTAGCCTTGGGGGCAAGAATGTGCTCCACGGTGTGGCTTTTCAGACGTCATCTCCACTCTACACAGACGTCGCCACCACACAGACGTCGCCACCACACAGACGTCGCCACCACACAGACGTCGCCACCACACAGACGTCGCCACCACACAGACGTCGCCTCCACTCCTCACAGACGTCGCCTCCACGTCACACAGGGAGGGAGTGGACCAGGGAGGAGAGACAGAGGGCAGCAGCAGCAAGGAAGGATCGCAAGGAGTGGGAAAGGAATCAGGGAACCACAACCCAGAACCCTTCGATCACAGAAGGGAGTGGGAAACCCTCCACAGGCAATTTAACAGCCCCAGTGGGAGGAGGATCACACCCATCTCCCAACCAATAGAAGCCCTACCTGCCCCAGCCCCTACACTCCTCCACCACCCTAAGCCCTCCCTCCTCCCCCACCCCCTGTGACCTCCCTTCTCCCCCCCCCCAACCCTCTTTCCTCCCCCTCTCCCCCAAGCCCTCTTTCCTCCCCTCTCCCCCAAGCCCTACTTTCTCCCCCACCCCCCAAGCCCTCCCTCCCCACTAACCCCAAACCTCCCCTCTCCTCCCCATCCCCCCAAGCCCTCCCTTCTCCCCCACCCCTCCAAGCCCTCACTTCGCCCCTACCCTCTCCAAACCAGATCCTCCCAACCCCCACTACCCAGGTCTCTCTCACTCTCAGCTCCCCTCACGACCCAGGGCTCCCACCTTCCCCCTCCCCATCCCAGACCCTCCATGTTTACCTACTCCAGTGGAAGCAACAGAAACTGTGGATGGACAGAAAAGAGTCAGCTTCAATGTGATGTACACGAACATAGATGGGATTACAAGCAAGACGAGTGAATTAAGAGAAAGACCGCAGGAAGTAAACCCAGATGTAATTGGAATCAGAGAAACAAAACTCTCAAGAACCATAACAAATGCGGTGTTCACCCAGGATTACACTGTAATAGGGAAAGAGAGGGAGAGAGAGGAGGAGGTGAAGTAGCCCTACTCATGAGAAAGGAATGGAGTTGCAAGGAGATGGTTAACCCAGGCTGTGAAGGATTTAGAGACTACATAACAGGCACCATGACGATGGGAGGACCTATAGTAGTAGTAGCGGTGATATATAACCCTCCACCAAATGACAGAAGACCCAGGCAAGAGTATGACAGAAACAACATGGCAGTTAATAACATAATTGAGAGGGCAGCCTCTGCTGCAGGTAGAAATCGATCCCATCTGCTCATCATGATGGACTTCAATCACAGAATGATAGACTGGAACAACAAGGAATTGCATGGAGGAGAGGATACACGGAGGGCCAAACTAGTGGAGGTGGCGACAAGAAATTTTCTAAGCCAACATGTCAGGGAACCCACTAGGATGAGGGGAAACGATGAACCAGCGAGACTCGACCTAGTCTTCACTCTGAATAACTCCGACATAAGGAAAATTGAATTCGAGGCACCAGTAGGAATGAGCGATAACAGTGTACTAACGTTTGAATATCTGGTCGAAGAAGGGCTAAAGTACTCGAAAAAGGGAACTGAAAGCAAAAGGCTGGCATTTCGTAACGGAAATTAAGAGGATATAAGAAAATTCCAAACGGATATAACATGGGAATCAGAGCTAAGGGGAAAGACGGCCCAAGACATAATAGAATACATCACGCAGAAGTGCAAGGAGGCAGCAGAAAAGTTTATCCCGGCCCATAAGGTAAAAAATAAATTGCAGATGAGAAACCCATGGTGTAATCAGAGATGTAAGCTAGCTAAGCAACAAACTAAAAGAGCATGGAGAAACTATAGAAATAATAGGACACGTGAGAGCAGAGAAGGTTACCACAGAGCCAGGAATGAATACGTCAGAGTGAGAAGAGCGGCAGAAGGGCAATATGAAAACGACATAGAAAATAAGGCTAAGACCCAACCCAAATTGCTGCACAGCCATATCACGAGAAAGACAGCAGTGAAGGAACAGGTAATGAAACTGGGGAAAGGGGCAGACAGATTCACTACAAACGACAAAGAAGTGTGCAAGGAACTCAATATGAAATTCCAGGAAGTCTTCACATTAGAGCAAGTAGAAGTTCCAGAGTTAAGAGAATGAATAATTAACCAGGTACCACTAGACGAATTTCAGATTACCATTGGAGATGTAAGGAAGCTTTTGCAAGAGTTGGATGTGACAAAGGCTATAGTCCCGGATGGAATCACCCCATGGATACTAAAGGAAGGAGCAAAAGCACTGTGCCTGCCACTCTCCATGGTGTATAACAAATCCCTGGTAACAGTTGAACTGCCAGAAATTTGGAAGGTGGCAAACGTAGTCCAGATATACAAGAACGGTGATAGACAGGATACACTGAACTACAGGCTAGTGTCCCTAACTTGCATACCATGCAAGCTAAGGGAGAAAATTGTGCGAAAAAAACTAGTCGAAAATCTGGAGCGAAGGAACTTTGTGTCACAGCACCAACATGGTTTCAGGGATGGCAAATCATGCCTGACAGGATTAATTGAGTTCTACGATCAGGCAACAAGAATCAGACTTGGATGAGGGATGGATGAGAGTGATGGGCAGACTGCATATTTTTGGATTGCCAGAAAGCATTTGACACAGTGCCACACCAGAGACTAGTGCGAAAGCTGGAGATGCAGGCAGGAGTGAAAGGGAAGGTACTCCATTGGATAAGGGCGTACCTAAGTAACAGAAAGCAGCGAGTCAGTGTGAGGGGTGAGGTCTCAGATTGTCGAGACGTCACCAGTGGAGTCCCGCAGGGTTCAGTCCTGTGACCCATACTGTTTCTTATATATGTTAATGGTCTTCCAGATGGTATAGAATCATTCCTCTCATTGTTTGCTGATGATGCAAAAATTATGAGGAGGGTTAAGACGGAGGAAGACAGTATGAGACTACAAGATGACCTAGACAGACTGTATGAATGGTCCAACAAATGGCTACTAAAGTTGAACCCGAGTAAATGTAAGGTAATGAAACTAGGAAGTGGAAACAGGAGGTCAGACACAGGATACAGTATGGGAGATGAAGTCCTTCATGAAACGAAACGAGAGAAGGACCCAGGAGTTGATATCATACCAACCCTGTCTCCTGAAGCCCATATCAAAAGAATAACATCTGCGGCGTATGCGAAGCTGGCTAACATCAGAACTGTCTTTAGGAACCTGTGTAAGGAATCATTCAGAACCTTGTATACCACATATATAAGACCAATGCGACCCCAGCATGGAGCCCGTACCTTGTCAAGCACGACAAACTTGAAAAAGTTCAGAGATATGTCACTAGGCTAGTCCCAGAACTAGCATGAGTTACGAAGAAAGGCTGCGAGAAATGCACCTCATGACACTAGAAGACAGAAGAGTAAGGGAAGACATGATCACCACCTACAAAACTCAGGGGAATTGACAGGGTAGATTAAGATTAACTGTTTAACACGGGTGGTACGTGAACAAGGGGACACAGGTGGAAACTGAGTACCCAAATGAGCCACCGGGACGCTAGAAAGAACCTTTTCAGTGTCAGAGTAGTTAACAGGTGGAATGCATTAGGCAGTGACGTGGTGGAGGCTGACTCCATACACAGTTTCAAATGTAGATATGATAGATCCCAGTAGGCTCAGGAATCTATACATCAGTTGATTGACAGTTGAGAGGCGGGACCAAAGACCCAGAGCTCAACCCCCGCAAGCACAATTAGGTGAGTACAATTAGGTGAATACACAGACGTCACCTCTACTCCACACATAGGTCGCCTCCACTCTAGAGGAGGTGGCCTCCACTCTAGCAGAGATCGTCTACACTCTAGCAGAGGTCGCCTCCACTCTAGAGGAGGTGGCCTCCACTCTAGCAGAGATCGTCTACACTCTAGCAGAGGTCGCCTCCACTCTAGAGGAGGTCGCCTCCACTCTAGCAGAGATCGTCTACACTCTAGCAGAGGTCGCCTCCACTCTAGAGGAGGTGGCCTCCACTCTAGCAGAGATCGTCTACACTCTAGCAGAGGTCGCCTCCACTCTAGAGGAGGTCGCCTCCACTCTAGCAGAGATCGTCTACACTCTAGCAGAGGTCGCCTCCACTCTAGAGGAGGTCGCCTCCACTCTAGCAGAGATCGTCTACACTCTAGCAGAGGTCGCCTCCACTCTAGAGGAGGTCGCCTCCACTCTAGCAGAGATCGTCTACACTCTAGCAGAGGTCGCCTCCACTCTAGAGGAGGTGGCCTCCACTCTAGCAGAGATCGTCTACACTCTAGCAGAGGTCGTCTACACTCTAGCAGAGGTCGTCTACACTAGCAGAGGCCGCCTCCACTCTAGCAGAGGTCGTCTACACTCTAGCAGAGGTCGTCTACACTCTAGCAGAGGTCGTCTACACTCTAGCAGAGGTCGCCTACACTCTAGCAGAGGTCGTCTACACTAGCAGAGGCCGCCTCCACTCTAGCAGAGGTCGTCTACACTCTAGCAGAGGCCGCCTCCACTCTAGCAGAGGTCGTCTACACTCTAGCAGAGGTCGTCTTCACTCTAGCAGAGGTCGCCTACACTCTAGAGGAGGTGGCCTCCACTCTAGCAGAGATCGTCTACACTCTAGCAGAGGTCGTCTACACTCTAGCAGAGGTCGTCTACACTAGCAGAGGCCGCCTCCACTCTAGCAGAGGTCGTCTACACTCTAGCAGAGGTCGTCTACACTCTAGCAGAGGTCGTCTACACTAGCAGAGGCCGCCTCCACTCTAGCAGAGGTCGTCTACACTCTAGCAGAGGCCGCCTCCACTCTAGCAGAGGTCGTCTACACTCTAGCAGAGGTCGTCTACACTCTAGCAGAGGTCGCCTACACTCTAGCAGAGGTCGCCTACACTCTAGCAGAGGTCGCCTCCACTCTAGCAGAGGTCACCTACACTCTAGCAGAGGTCGCCTACACTCTAGCAGAGGTCGTCTACACTCTAGCAGAGGTCGCCTACACTCTAGCAGAGGTCGCCTACACTCTAGCAGAGGTCGCCTCCACTCTAGCAGAAGTCACCTACACTCTAGCAGAGGTCGTCTACACTCTAGCAGAGGTCGCCTACACTCTAGCAGAGGTCGCCTACACTCTAGCAGAGGTCGCCTCCACTCTAGCAGAGGTCGCCTCCACTCTAGCAGAGGTCACCTACACTCTAGCAGAGGTCGTCTACACTCTAGCAGAGGTCGCCTACACTCTAGCAGAGGTCGCCTACACTCTAGCAGAGGTCGTCTACACTCTAGCAGAAGTCACCTACACTCTAGCAGAGGTCGTCTACACTCTAGCAGAGGTCGTCTACACTCTAGCAGAGGTCGTCTACACTCTAACAGAGGTCGTCTACACTCTAGCAGAGGTCGTCTACACTCTAGCAGAGGTCGTCTACATTCTAGCAGAGGTCGCCTCCACTCTAACAGAGGTCGTCTACACTCTAGCAGAGGTCGTCTACACTCTAGCAGAGGTCGTCTACACTCTAGCAGAGGTCGCCTCCACTCTAACAGAGGTCGTCTACACTCTAGCAGAGGTCGTCTACACTCTAGCAGAGGCCGCCTCCACTCTAACAGAGGTCGTCTACACTCTAGCAGAGGTCGTCTACACTCTAGCAGAGGCCGCCTCTACTCTAACAGAGGTCGTCTATACTCTAGCAGAGGTCGTCTACACTCTAGCAGAGGTCGTCTACACTCTAGCAGAGGCCGCCTCTACTCTAACAGAGGTCGTCTACACTCTAGCAGAGGTCGTCTACACTCTAGCAGAGGCCGCCTCTACTCTAACAGAGGTCGTCTACACTCTAGCAGAGGTCGTCTACACTCTAGCAGAGGTCGTCTACACTCTAGCAGAGGCCGCCTCTACTCTAACAGAGGTCGTCTACACTCTAGCAGAGGTCGTCTACACTCTAGCAGAGGCCGTCTCTACTCTAACAGAGGTCGTCTACACTCTAGCAGAGGTCGTCTACACTCTAGCAGAGGTCGTCTACACTCTAGCAGAGGTCGTCTACACTCTAGCAGAGGTCGTCTACACTCTAGCAGAGGTCGTCTACACTCTAGCAGAGGTCGTCTACACTCTAGCAGAGGTCGTCTACACTCTAGCAGAGGTCGTCTACATTCTAGCAGAGGTCGTCTACACTCTAGCAGAGGCAGTCTACATTCTAGCAGAGGTTGCCATAACAAGTGACATACTCTCCACTCTTCCCCCTTCCCAGGTCCACTTGTGGTATAATTGGGAGTGAACATTGTTCCTATCTAGAAATACTTAGTTGTTTTTACAGGACCGAACTTCAGCTCCCTGGCCTCGCCTTTCCAACTATCGGTTGTTTATGCTGTTGTTGTTGTTGTGTGTTTAAGGGTGATGACGATTGTGGCATCAGAAGCGCCCCGGGGGACCCGTAAAGGGTTAATCGCGAAGCCCACTCGCGGAACGAATGATGCCTATCACCTGACACTAATATGCCTCGCGGCCAATGAACGCGCAGAAGGGTAGACGAGTGGGGAACCCCAGGAGTCCCTTAGGGTGACAAGCACCGGCCCCGCCCCAGGAGTCCCTCAGGGTGACAAGCACCGGCCCCGCCCAAGGAGTCCCTCAGGGTGACAAGCACCGGCCCCGCCCCAGGAGTCCCTCAGGGTGACAAGCACCAGCCCCGCCCCAGGAGTCCCTCAGGGTGACAAGCACCGGCCCCGCCCCAGGAGTCCATCAGGGTGACAAGCACCGGCAACGCCCCAGGAGTCCCTCAGGGTGACAAGCACCGGCCCCGCCCCAGGAGTCCCTCAGGGTGACAAGCACCAGCCCCGCCCCAGGAATCCCTCAGGGTGACAAGCACCTGCCCCGCCCCAGGAGTCCCTCAGGGTGACAAGCACCAGCCCCGCCCCAGGAGTCCCTCAGGGTGACAAGCACCGGCCCCGCCCCAGGAGTCCCTCAGGGTGACAAGCACCGGCCCCGCCCCAGGAGTCCCTCAGGGTGACAAGCACCAGCCCCGCCCCAGGAGTCCCTCAGGGTGACAAGCACCGGCCCCGCCCCAGGAGTCCCTCAGGGTGACAAGCACCGGCCCCGCCCCAGGAGTCCTACAGGGTGACAAGCACCGGCCCCGCCCCAGGAGTCCCTTAGGGTGACAAGCACCGACCCCGCCCCAGGAGTCCCTCAGGGTGACAAGCACCGGCCCCGCCCCAGGAGTCCCTCGGGGTGACAAGCACCGGCCCCGCCCCAGGAGTCCCTCAGGGTGCCAAGCACCGGCCCCGGCCCAGGAGTCCCTCATTGGTGACAAGCACCGGCCCCGCCCCAGGAGTCCCTCGGGGTGACAAGCACCGGCCCCGCCCCAGGAGTCCCTCAGGGTGACAAGCACCGGCCCCGCCCCAGGAGTCCCTCAGGGTGACAAGCACCAGCCCCGCCCCAGGAGTCCCTCAGGGTGACAAGCACCGGCCCCGCCCCAGGAGTCCCTCAGGGTGACAAGCACCGGCCCCGCCCCAGGAGTCCCTCAGGGTGACAAGCACCGGCCCCGCCCAAGGAGTCCCTCAGGGTGACAAGCACCGGCCCCGCCCCAGGAGTCCCTCAGGGTGACAAGCACCAGCCCCGCCCCAGGAGTCCCTCAGGGTGACAAGCACCGGCTCCGCCCCAGGAGTCCATCAGGGTGACAAGCACCGGCCCCGCCCCAGGAGTCCCTCAGGGTGACAAGCACCGGCCCCGCCCCAGGAGTCCCTCAGGGTGACAAGCACCAGCCCCGCCCCAGGAATCCCTCAGGGTGACAAGCACCAGCCCCGCCCCAGGAGTCCCTCAGGGTGACAAGCACCAGCCCCGCCCCAGGAGTCCCTCAGGGTGACAAGCACCAGCCCCGCCCCAGGAGTCCCTTAGGGTGACAAGCACCGGCCCCGCCCCAGGAGTCCCTCAGGGTGACAAGCACCAGCCCCGCCCCAGGAGTCCCTCAGGGTGACAAGCACCGGCCCCGCCCCAGGAGTCCCTCAGGGTGACAAGCACCGGCCCCGCCCCAGGAGTCCCTCAGGGTGACAAGCACCAGCCCCGCCCCAGGAGTCCCTCAGGGTGACAAGCACCGGCCCCGCCCCAGGAGTCCCTCAGGGTGACAAGCACCGGCCCCGCCCCAGGAGTCCTACAGGGTGACAAGCACCGGCCCCGCCCCAGGAGTCCCTTAGGGTGACAAGCACCGACCCCGCCCCAGGAGTCCCTCAGGGTGACAAGCACCGGCCCCGCCCCAGGAGTCCCTCGGGGTGACAAGCACCGGCCCCGCCCCAGGAGTCCCTCAGGGTGCCAAGCACCGGCCCCGGCCCAGGAGTCCCTCATTGGTGACAAGCACCGGCCCCGCCCCAAGAGTCCCTCGGGGTGACAAGCACCGGCCCCGCCCCAGGAGTCCCTCAGGGTGACAAGCACCGGCCCCGCCCCAGGAGTCCCTCAGGGTGACAAGCACCAGCCCCGCCCCAGGAGTCCCTCAGGGTGACAAGCACCGGCCCCGCCCCAGGAGAACCTCAGGTTGACAAGCACCGGCCCCGCCCCAGGAGTCCCTCGGGGTGACAAGCACCGGCCCCGCCCCAGGAGTCCCTCAGGGTGACAAGCACCGGCCCCGCCCCAGGAGTCCCTCATTGGTGACAAGCACCGGCCCCGCCCCAGGAGTCCCTCGGGGTGACAAGCACCGGCCCCGCCCCAGGAGTCCCTCAGGGTGACAAGCACCGGCCCCGCCCCAGGAGTCCCTCGGGGTGACAAGCACCGGCCCCGCCCCAGGAGTCCCTCGGGGTGACAAGCACCGGCCCCGCCCCAGGAGTCCCTCAGGGTGACAAGCACCGGCCCCGCCCCAGGAGTCCCTCAGGGTGACAAGCACCGGCCCCGCCCCAGGAGTCCCTCAGGGTGACAAGCACCGGCCCCGCCCCAGGAGTCCCTCAGGGTGACAAGCACCAGCCCCGCCCCAGGAGTCCCTCAGGGTGACAAGCACCAGCCCCGCCCCAGGAGTCCCTCAGGGTGACAAGCACCGGCCCCGCCCCAGGAGTCCCTCAGGGTGACAAGCACCGGCCCCGCCCCAGGAGTCCCTAGGGGTGACAAGCACCGGACCCGCCCCAGGAGTCCCTCAGGGTGACAAGCACCAGCCCCGCCCCAGGAGTCCCTAGGGGTGACAAGCACCGGCCCCGCCCCAGGAGTCCCTCAGGGGTGACAAGCACCGGCCCCGCCCCAGGAGTCCCTCAGGGTGACAAGCACCGGCCCCGCCCCAGGAGTCCCTCAGGGTGACAAGCACCGGCCCCGCCCCAGGAGACCCTCAGGGGTGACAAGCACCGGCCCCGCCCCAGGAGTCCCTCTGGGTGACAAGCACCGGCCCCGCCCCAGGAGTCCCTTAGGGTGACAAGCACCGGCCCCGCCCCAGGAGTCCCTCAGGGTGACAAGCACCGGCCCCGCCCCAGGAGTCCCTTAGGGTGACAAGCACCGGCCCCGCCCCAGGAGACCCTCAGGGGTGACAAGCACCGGCCCCGCCCCAGGAGTCCCTCAGGGTGACAAGCACCGGCCCCGCCCCAGGAGTCCCTCAGGGTGACAAGCACCGGCCCCGCCCCAGGAGTCCCTTAGGGTGACAAGCACCGGCCCCGCCCCAGGAGTCCCTCAGGGTGACAAGCACCGGCCCCGCCCCAGGAGTCCCTTAGGGTGACAAGCACCGGCCCCGCCCCAGGAGACCCTCAGGGGTGACAAGCACCGGCCCCGCCCCAGGAGTCCCTCAGGGTGACAAGCACCGGCCCCGCCCCAGGAGTCCCTCAGGGTGACAAGCACCGGCCCCGCCCCACACAGAGAAAGTTGGGGAGCAGAACCAAAACTCAGACCCCAACTATAACGTAAAAAGTCATCCAGTGTCCTCCGGCAGAGCAGAAGCCGGCCGCCCACCACGACTGAGGACACACTAGCTGCCCACCACGACTGAGGACACACCAGGAGCCCACCACGGCTGAGGACACACCAGGAGCCCACAACGACTGAGGACACACCAGGAGCCCACCACGGCTGAGGACACACCAGGAGCCCACCACGGCTGAGGACACACCAGGAGCCCACAACGACTGAGGACACACCAGGAGCCCACCACGGCTGAGGACACACCAGGAGCCCACCACGACTGAGGACACACCAGGAGCCCACCACGGCTGAGGACACACCAGGAGCCCACCACGACTGAGGACACACCAGGAGCCCACCACGGCTGAGGACACACCAGGAGCCCACCACGGCTGAGGACACACTAGCCGCCCACCACGACTGAGGACACACCAGGAGCCCACCACGACTGAGGACACACCAGGAGCCCACCACGGCTGAGGACACACTAGCGCCCACCACGGCTGAGGACACACCAGGAGCCCACCACGACTGAGGACACACCAGGAGCCCACCACGGCTGAGGACACACGAGGAGCCCACCACGGCTGAGGACACACTAGCCGGCCACCACGACTGAGGACACACCAGGAGCCCACCACGACTGAGGACACACCAGGAGCCCACCACGGCTGAGGACACACCAGGAGCCCACCACGACTGAGGACACACCAGGAGCCCACCACGACTGAGGACACACCAGGAGCCCACCACGGCTGAGGACACACTAGCGCCCACCACGGCTGAGGACACACCAGGAGCCCACCACGACTGAGGACACACCAGGAGCCCACCACGGCTGAGGACACACCAGGAGCCCACCACGGCTGAGGACACACTAGCCGGCCACCACGACTGAGGATACACCAGGAGCCCACCACGACTGAGGACACACCAGGAGCCCACCACGGCTGAGGACACACCAGGAGCCCACCACGGCTGAGGACACACTAGCCGCCCACCACGACTGAGGACACACCAAGAGCCCACCACGACTGAGGACACACCAGGAGCCCACCACGGCTGAGGACACACCAGGAGCCCACCACGGCTGAGGACACACTAGGAGCCCACCACGACTGAGGACACACCAGGAGCCCACCACGACTGAGGACACACCAGGAGCCCACCACGGCTGAGGACACACCAGGAGCCCACCACAGCTGAGGACACACTAGCTGCCCACCACGACTGAGGACACACCAGGAGCCTACCACGACTGAGGACACACCAGGAGCCCACCACGGCTGAGGACACACCAGGAGCCCACCACGGCTGAGGACACACTAGGAGCCCACCACGACTGAGGACACACCAGGAGCCCACCACGACTGAGGACACACCAGGAGCCCACCACGGCTGAGGACACACCAGGAGCCCACC